TATCAGTTCTCAACATTATCTCTAAACCACTGTCTTTCTCCACAAGGCACTTAAATTCTTTGAAAGCTTGGCATGCTTCAGACTTATGCTTCAAACTATAGATCCATGTTTTTCTACTCAAATCATTGATGAAAGTAATAAAGTACTTACTACCTCCATGTGATGGAGCCTCGAATGAACATAAGTCTGAATGAACAATCTCCAGGTGTTTTGTTGCTCTTCGTGACTTTCTAACCGGAAATGAATACCTATGTTTCTCTCCAATCTCACAAATTTCACAAACACGATTAGGAATAGTAACAATTGGCAAGTTGGGGACAAGATTGTTTCTCGCAAGAAAGTTCAATCCTGAGAAATGGAAGTGCCCAAAACGCATATGCCATAGCCAATTATCATCGGCAATATCAGTTTTAGCACAAGATAGATATGCATGGTGAATACGCAAAGGAAATAACCGATTTTTAGACATATTTACCTTTGCTATCAACTTTACTTTGTTATCTGCAATACTGCAACTTCCTTGGTCAATAATGATTTTATACCTTTTTTCTGCTAATTGTCCCACACTTAAAAGATTTTGATGAAGATCAGGAACATAAAGGGCATCGGATATAAAATTCAGAGTTCCATCTTTTAACAGTATTGTAATTTTGCCCTTTCCCAAGATTGGGACCTTTGATTTATTTCCAAAGGTAACCTCCGATTGAATTGATTGATCTAATTCACAGAATAAATCTTTGTTCCCATACATATGGTTACTGCACCCGGTATCCAAAAATCATGTGTTCTCATCTGCATGAACCTTATCACTAGCTAACAATAGAGTTTCAGTCTCTTTAACGCACTCACTGGAGTTCTCAGCAAGATGTGTTTGGTTCTTAGAATTTCTTTGCCAACAATCTGCAATCCTGTGTCCATACTTGCCACAATTATAACAATGAAAAGAGAACTTGTCTTGGTTGTTACCTCTCTCTCTTTTTTGTGTTGTGTTATTCCCACAGCTTCAACCCCTGAAATTTCCTCTTCCTCTTCATCTTCCACAGCCTCTGTTCAGCCCTTTCTCGTTTGAAGAATCATTTGAGTCCAAATTAATTTGGGATTGCAGGGCTTCTTCAATTAACATTTCTGTTTTTGTTGCAATTCGATCGATGTGGCTCTCAATCATACCTTTCAGCTCCACAACAAATAAGAGTTCAGTATCATGAGACTCAGTTATAGAGGTACAACATGACCATACTTCATCGGAAGGGTTCGAAGAACTTTCTCAACTACAGTGCCGTTTGTAATTTTTTCTCCATATAACCTCATCTTGTTAACGAGAACAGTGAGACGACAGAAGTATTGTTCCACTGTCTCTGTAGTTGTCATCTCGCAGCGATCAAACAATCTTCTCAACGACTGCAATTTGGACTTTTGAGCTCGATCGACTCATTTGTATCGACTCCTGGGTGAACGGAACCTTATAAACATTTATATAAAAATATAATTTTCTGGCCTAAATATTACTATAGTTTTATTATATGAGATAGAGTGACTCACAATCAGTTGAAGTGAATTAACAAATTGGTTCTTACATTTTTTCACACACACAAAAAAGTCAAACCACCTGCTTTAATAAAAACAAAAATTAAAAATTAACAATTTAAAATATATTGAAATTGAAATAGAATAATTGTAAAAAAATAAAAATTGAAAGAACAATTTTGTCCCCCGAAGTCCGGATCCGGAAGCCAGTTCCATCATAGTTCATGGATATATAGTTTTGAAGGTCAAAGATTTGTTTATATGACCTACAAACAAAACAATGAATTAGAACGGTAGGAATAACATTTATTATTTGATCCAATCCTCCAATTTTGCTTGAAGCGATCCAAGTACTCCATGTGTTTGAAGTTAGTTTTTTAGCATCCATGAAGCTCAAAATATAGTTTAAAGAATGAAACTTCATGTTCCACAACCGGTAAAGAAAACAAGTTGTAAACATTCTAACTCTCAGCTAAATTATTAATTTGCTGATGTCGTATATGTTAAATAATGATTGGTTTCTTGTATCCTGTTGAATGACGTTCTATAAATTAGAATCTTCAGATGTAGATTTTTCATCAAACAAGATTAACAAATCTTATGAATCTTGTGTGTTGTATTTTACTTTATGCATCCTCTCAAATACGTAATTGTCATAAGCACAAAACAACTACACATTTAATAGTTGTGTTTAGCGCTCGTGGTTTCATAATTTTTGGTTTGCTTATATTCAAAGGAGTTAGTCTCTCAAGTATGTCCTGTTTCATTTTATCCAACATCAAATCCCATGTTAATTTTATTTTAATTAATTTTTTTAAAAAAAATATATAAATGCTTTGGGTTTTTCTAAAAAAAATTAGAACAAATTTTCTCTCTCTATTTTTTTTTTAATTATATCGATTTTTATATTTGTGTATTATATATAATTTTTTGCAAAATAATATATTTATATATTTTTATTTAAATGTAATTTTACAAGTAAATTGCATTGTTATATATATATATATTTATGTATATTTTATTGAGCACAGAAAATATAATTTCGTATGGAGAAAAAAAGACATGATGTGCAGGTGAAGAAAAATTTTTAGACAATTTTTTTTTTTTTTTTTTTTGTTTTATGCTGATGCTAAGTAAAGTTAAATTTCCAGTCAAATTTTTCCAATGGATTAGCTTGTTCAGAAAGAAATTTTTTAATTTAAATAAATAATAAAATATAGTATTTAATAACATAAAAAATACATTTGATATAATTTTTTTTTAAATAGTATATGTATTTTTTAATATTTATATAAACATAGTAATGTTGTTAGATAGAAATTGAATGCTTTAAATCATGAAATGTCAAAAAAATTCTTTTGCTTGTCAGTTCAAACAGTCAATTTATAATTTCATATGATATTAATTTAAAGTTTATAAACTCAATTCCAATTTATATATGAATTGGATTCAAATAAAAATATCTATAGTTAGAACTATTGATTTGAAATAGTGTAAACAAATTAATGGGAGTTATTCTTACATTAATTAGATTAGTAAATATAATAAATTTCAAATATTAAAGGATGTGTTTGATTTGTGTTTTGAATATAATTTGTCACTATTCAATTTACAACTATTCCTAATAAATTATTTTCATTTTATTTTACAAAATATCATGTTAAAATAATATATAAACCAAACCTCAAATCAAAACTCACTAAAAAAAAATAGTATATTTGTAACGGAATTTTGTTCCTAGTTCACATAGCTAACGTAATTCCATCTCTAATTCCGTCTTTAATATCATTAGTAACGGAAAAATTGAATTTATGAACGAAAAAACCTGTTACAAAATTGATAATTTCTTGTAGTGACTTTTGTCAAATTAAAAATCCCCATATTGCCGGGTTTTTAATGCAGTTTTCCTCTAATTTATGAGTTCTTACCTAAGATAACCAACGAACTTAATTAGTTAAACAGCCTTAGTATAACCATGGATGATTTGGGTCCCTAAAGAGATGAAAAATATATGATAATTTTATTGTTAAGAAAAGTAGTAATAACTGTTACTCTAACTACAAAGAACTAATTACTAGAAAAACATTCAAAGGAGGTGGGAAGTTGGTGGGGGTGTCCACAGACAACCTCTAACTGCAGACACTATCCCCATAAAGCTCCTTACTGTTTGAGTTTTGAAGAGAATCTGTACTTGAATGAATGATGTACAAATACAAATACAACTACAACTGAATGAAAACAATTGATGATAGATAATGTAAATGAGGTTGCTATATATAAATTTTAGCATTAGGACATCCACTGGACTAGATTTTGCTGGTTGAGATTCTTTGGTTGCTTGATAGATTGCTGGCTTGGTAGACTGTGTGTATTGAATTTATGGTCACTGGATTTTGGTACCTAAGCAAAACTTAGTTTTATTGATTTTCCGTCTTGGTGCTCTAGATCATCTCAAATGATAATATGTCCGTAAGAGTACATTTATTTATGTATTATAATAATTTTTACTCAAAAAACAAAGAAAAAAAATATGATGATTTGTTTGTTTTGTGAAATAGTTTGAAAGAATATTTATTTTAATGTTATTTATAGAGAATTGTAAAGATAATATAAAAATAATGAAGGTGTGTAGTATATTAATTTTTTTTTTGGACAATCGTATGTAAAAAAAAGATAAAAAGAACACACTCAAATATTCAACTTTTCAGTAAGTCTCAATTTGATAGGCTTAATTTATCAACAAAGATTTTGAAGCTATGAACTAATAGATGACTTCAATTTAAAGTTACTATGAAATAAGTCAAGTTACACAAAAGAACCGAAAAATTACTAAAGATTAGTTAAAATTCAAATTTTGAAATAGAATACTAACAGATTTAAAACTGTCTTCTGGTTTCAATCCAGTTTTATCAAGAAAAAAGCTGTTGAGTTGCACCGTGGCATCATCATGTTGTATAGACCCTTAGTCATGCAGAAGTCAATCTTGTGTGGTAGGTAGAAATATTGTTTTGTACGGTCTTAGAAAATTCTTTGGGTGAGAGTCAATTAGGGATGGACTTGGAGTTGTGTAACTCCACAATGTAGTGTTGGCTTCTTGGATGTCGATTGTGTGAGTGTGAACTTTGTTGATGCATATCAATCATCAATTTCAAGAAATTTGTCTACATTTAAAACAACATCAAGTTATGGCCCAACAGAGTGTGATAAGATGCACATATTTAACTAAATCATTTGTGTTAGTTGGCATTATAATGATTATAGCATTTGCTTTGTAGGTCAGATGCTGTGAAGCATCCACATCCATGTTTTTCTATTGCATTTGCATCATCATATGCACATAAAGGAGTTTCCTGGCAACTTGGTGTTGGAAATGGAAATGGAAATGGAAATGGAAATAGGAAGTAGCTCCCCTTTCTTCAATATGACATGGAGGTGTAATGTATATATGTATGCATGTGTGTAAGTATGTATATATGTTCTCTCTCACAAGTGATGGAAAGGTTAGGCATTACAACAGTGATTGATTATTGGTCTACCAGAGCATAGTCTCTATCTGATCTGCTGTAATCTCTGAATCTAATGTCAACGAATCATACAAGTGGGGCGAAACACCTGCTGCTGCAATGAGCTCCTGATTAGTGTAGCCTGCAGGTGATTCGACATCTCCATACGAAGGAAAAAAATCGCATTGAGAAGAGTGATCAGAATATTCTTCATCCCACAAGCTGAGAGGTGATCCTGTTGCAGTAATCTGGGAATAGTCTATCATATCTTGAAACAGATTTTGTTGGAGGATCATGTAGTTGTGTGTGTTGTTCCATAGAGAGGTTGGGATCGGATCGATGATGGGACTAGTGACTCTGAAATGTCCAGCATTACTACTTCCCTTGTTGGGACTGGGAATTGGGGGTGGGGGTGGGGGGGTTGGCTTGATTAGTGATTTATCTGTAGGATCCACCGTGCCAAACCGGATTGGCTGCTGCTGCTGTTGTGGTTGCGGTTGCTTCTCCTCTAAGTTTCGGTCGGAAGTCCAACAAGAATGAAGTTGAATTCGGGGTTTGGATGAAAAGTAGGAGTGATTGAAACTAAGAGTTGAGGATGTATAATTGGGAGTTGCAGGAGGAGGAGGAGAGTGTGAAAAAGGTTGAGTCATACTAATAAAATCTCTGGTGCAGTCCTTGTTTCTGTGATCATTCTCATTCTTGTTCTTGTCTGGGATGCTTGATTGCAGCTTTGGAGTTTCAGCCTCATAAGTCTCAGTCTGTGGGCAGCCATTTCCATTTCCATTTCCTCCACAAGGCTTACCCACTTTCAAATAGGTATCATCATTATTATCATCATCATCATCATCTTCCTGCTGTGTTATCTCACAACATGAAAATGCTGCTGTTGCTGCTGTCTCATTTTCTTTCGGCAACCTGCTCAAGTAGAGTCGATACTTCTGAAACCATGCATTGGAAAACAAAAGGTTCTGTTTGTTACCATGGATAATAGATAATAGATAGAAGGGGGGTTGATCTAGCTAGCACTTAACTGAATGAATGAATGATTCAGTAGATGAGCCAGAGCAAGAAATGGAATCAAATTCACCTCACTAAGTACCCACCTGTAAGTGACTGGCCACATTTTCTCTCGTCAGCCACGGCACACCCATCAAGTCAAGTATTTTCTTGGGGCCAACTTCTGTCAAGTAATTAAGTACATCCCATTTAGCAAGATTGATTGATTGCTGGTATTGGTATTGGCATTGGTATTGGATAGTAGAGTCTAGAGACTAGAGACAAGAAGAAGAAGAACAACAACAAATTAAAAAACTCACTATCGAACCCAATCTGGTTGACGGCTTTGACAAACTTCTGATGAAGCTCTACAGTCCAAACAACCCTTGCTCTCTTCACAGACACAGACATTGGCAAGGCTGCAGTCTCACCATAGCCATAACCATCAGCATCAGCATCTCTTCGTTTCTTTCCCGAAGCAGAAATCAGATCATCATCATCATCATCTCCAGATTGCTCCCGCTCTGCTCTGCTCCTCATCTTCTGAATTTCCTCTGAGCTCCTTTTCCTCAAGACATGCTGCCATATGTTTCGAAGCTCTTTCATTCTGATAGGCTTAAGAAGATAATCGCATGCACCGTGCTGAACACCTTTCATTACTCTGCTCGTTTCCCCATCAACGGACATCACTGCATCAAGTAAGTACTTTCTTTATTTAAGGGGATGGCAGGGTAACTAGCTAATTAATTCAATACTGGAAGCAATTAAGGAAAGAAAGAAAGCAAGTGTTTTGATATAGATACTGCTAGTAGTAGTAGTACATACTTATAACAGGTAGGTCCATCTCCAAACCAACATGCTCGAGGAGTTTGAAACCATCCATGTCAGGCATGTTCACATCACTTATTACGATATCAAATCCATCCTTCCTTTCTCGAAGCAATTTCAGAGCCTCTCTTGCCAAATTACATGCCCTCACTATTACCACATTCATTTCAAAAAACCATTACTAGAATATCAAACCAAAACACATAACCTACATACATACATACATACATACATATATATATATATGTATATATGCAGTGCAACACTATTTCCTTCCAACCACAACAACCAATCTTTAAGGCAAATGATAAATACCTTTATAGTTACACTTATTGAGCATCCTTTCAAGAATCTTCAGCCATGTGGGATCATCGTCCACAACAAGAACCCGAAGTCCTGCCGGAAAAGAACTGCCTCTGGGCATTGAAGAAGCTGAAGAGGGAGCCATGGACTCTTTCTGAGCTCAAGATGCAGTGTGTCTGGAAATGGAGAAATATAATAGATGTCTCAATGAATTAAGAGAAAAGAAGAGATGAAAGAATATTTGGGACATAGCTTAACGGTCTGAGTTGCACATATTATATACATACATGTGTCCCCAGCTGGTATCCATACAATAATTAATCAACTCAAGGCTCCTTTACTTAATTATTTATTTAATCTCTTCTCTTTTCTAACATTCATTTTTGTTCCATTTAACTTTCTGCTGCAGCCCATATGAATATGATCTTATTCCAAATGAAAGAATTAAGGCAGGGTTTGGTTGGTTGGTTGGTTGGTTGCGTTGCATATTTTGCTTTAGTTCGATGTTCCAAATTCCTCCTATAGGCTAGGCTTAAGCTACCATTATTGATTAATTGGCTTGCTGCTTTACCTAAACCAATAATTATTGCACACAAGGAATTGTAATTAAGCATATAAAATTTATGGCATATGCGATGCCCAATCATTGAATATATATAAAGCTAAGGGTGGTGATTCACTCACCCATCTCTTTGTTAATAATTGATTAATCCAAAAATCAAAACCACCTTGCATTGTACTACTTACTAATTAAGTGTACTTAATTGGTTAGGACACTGTCACTACCTAATTTAATATGATTGCCTTTGTTTACTCATTCAATCTGCATTAACATCTCCCTCCCATCAATCTTTTGTACACACACACACATATATATATATATATATATATGTAACATTAAGTAATTTATTTTTTAATTAGTATGCATTTGCTAATCACCTCATAATAATTATAAACAAATAAACACCGGTGGGTTCATATTCATATGGCACTTGCAGCAGGTCTGCACGTACTGCTACGTGTGCATTGTTCGTAAGAATATTGTTAGGGAATCAAGGGAAAAATAAAAATTGCAAGGTACAAATTAACAATCTTTGAAATGCCTCGAGTTATATTTCTTAATTAAATATTTTGATCCTATTAAATATGGGTTTCATAAAATTTATACAAGAATAAAAACAAAGTAAAAACTTGATATATATATATATATATATATGTGTGTGTGTGTGTGTGAAATATCAAACACCTAAAGGTGAAAAATATTTTATGCATAAAATATACTATTTAATCTTTAGAAATTTAAAGAAAAATTATTCTCTTTGTAAAAAAAAAAAAAAAAGATTAGGACATATAAAGAGAAAATTGTAAAATTTGTCATGTAATTATGTCCTTTTATTATTTTTGAACACCATTATCCCATGATTTTAGAACAATAATTAAAATACTGTCAATCGTTTTTTAATTTCTTTCTTTTTTGTTTTTTTTTTTTTTATCGGTGCCGGTAAAATGTATGATGAGGCGGACACACCGATTCTAAAGTGGCACAATTTATGTATGAAATAAATGATCATTGCACATGAGACATAAGTCCATTTTCCCAGCACTGAAAGTTATAAAAAACAACAATATTTTAAATATTGTCTTAAAATCAAATACCGAATAATAATGTTAAAAATGATATATAAACCATTATGAGACAAAAATTACAATTTTCTCTATATATAAATAATGAATGTCTTCTCATTTTCATTAAAATTGTGCAAATTAATTTCTTGATTGAAGAGATGTCACCCAAACTTTTATTTACCAAATTATTGTGCATGAATTCACTTAATTTAATTTCTAATATAAAATTTATTTTTTTGAATAAACATTTTTTTTAGTCATGTTGTGACCTAAAAGGAGCGACCTCATTGGATTTTTGGTAAGTAGAAAGGAAAAAAGTTCAAGAATATTATCTATGCATAAATTTCACTGATGGTGGATGAACTGAACTTTAAAACAATTAAAAGTTTTGAGGATTAGATAAAAATCAAATGATTGAAAATTTTGAGGATAAACTGAACTTCCAAATGATTAGAAGTTTTGAGGATAATAATAATATTATGAAGGAATAGAAAACACTATAAGAAAATATCAATTTTGTAACAACGGTTTTTAGTCCCTAAATGTATTTTTTCTGTTACTAATGATATTAAAGACGAAATTAGTAATGAAATTATGTTAGCTACGTAAACTTTAGGAACGAAATTCCGTTACAAATATATTATTTTTTTGTAGTGAAAACACAAGGGAGTGTAGAAATTTGAGTTACCGTTTTAAAATTTTGAGGAACATTATAGTTAAAAGAGTTGTGTGAGTATTCTTGTAAGTATGTTTGTAAAACTTTGAAATGAAAAAAGTTTTTGTGAATTTGAAGATTTTTAAGAATTTGGCTAAATTGCTGAAAGTTAAATACATGAGTATTGAAAGAGAGAAAATAAATAGCATGAAAAAGTAAATTATGTTTGAGTGATTGATGTGTTTATATTTGCAAAGTGCAAGCCTAATTATATGGAAAATACTCCACTCAATAAATTGGATATTATTATATTGTATATGTATGTTATTTGTTGGACACAGTTGTATTGTTAGATCATATCAATTTAATTTATGTAATTAGAGTATCAATTTAGTCCCTTTTAATCATCAATCTCGTCAATTTTTCTCTTTTTGTAATTTATTGAATGTAATATTATATCACATCACTTTACTTGTATATCTATGTAGTCGTGATTAATCTCGTCAACTTTTGTCTTGTTGAAATGTATTGAATGCAATATTATTTTACATCACACTTGTATATAATGTAGCAGTGATCAATCTCGTCAACTTTTGTCAGTGTTGAAATTTATTGAATGCAATGTCATCACATTTGTGTATCATGGAATATTGATCAATCTTGTCAACTTTTGTTTTGTTAAAATTTATTAAATGCAATGTTATATGACATTCCCTTTGCGTATTATGTAATAGTGATCAATCTCGTCAACTTTTATCTCGTTGAAATTTATTTAAGATATTGTTATATTATATTATTTACTTGTAAATAAATATAGTAGTGATCAATTTTATTTTATTTTTTAACGTTTTTCTTATTAAAATTTATTGAATACATTGTTATTTCATTACTTAATTTGTGTATCTATATAGTAGTCACTGCTAGAAAACAGGCCAATAGTTACAGAGAATTGTCGTAGATTTAAATTTCGCGACAATAAAAAGTCACGGACAACCGATCAGTGACAATATTATGTCATAACTTTTTTTTTCGAACTATTCCGTGTCAAATAACTGCAGAAAAAGTCACAAACTATTTTCCGTTATTATTTAAACTAGCGACATAAATCACGAAAATATCTGTAGTATTTATGTATCATGGATTTTGTTGCAAACAAATGCCGATAAATATGATTTATCACACAGATTATCACGGAATTGTTCGAGATTAAATTATATTGCAATACAAGTAACAAAAATATCTGCAACATTTTATTTTGTTACAAATATTACTAAGGTATATATTTTGTGACTCTTTAAAATCATAACATAAATAATGAAAATATTAGCAATTTTTTAATTGTCACGTATTAATTTTATTAGAAATTATTTAAAGTAATAAAAAAAGTAACAACAACATCTACAATATTTTTATTTGTTACTAATATTGTTATGGAATATATTTCGTGACTATTTAAAGTCACGGCAAAGTAGCGATATCTCCACAATATTTACGTTACAACATCCTTATTTCAATAAAATTCCGATAATTTTGCAACAATTTGAATTGTTTCCCTCATGATCATAGTATATATTTTGTGAGTATGTGAAATTACAAATAAGTAATGAAAATATTCACAATTGTTTTTTTTTTCTCACGAAAATTTATTCGCAACTTTTTAAAATAATATAATTATTTGTAATATTTTGATGTGTTACAAATATTGTTTTTCAATATTTTTTAATGGCTAATCAAAATTGGGGCATAAATAATAAATTCTTTTTCAATATATTGATTGCCACGTATATTTTTATGATCTTTTATGTAAATATTTAATGAAATTCACATAAATAAATATATATTAGTAATATTAAATTAATAGATTATATCAATTTAAGATACAATAAACAAATATAAATAATTAAGGAAAGAATATGTCTATATCTATATCTATATATATTTATATATTCCTATATTTCAAATCTAAATCTTATTAGTTGAGATAATTAAGGATTAAATATTATCTATTAGGTCTATCAATTAAACAAGGTTAAACAACATGATCATCAAGAAATAAAAAAGTTTGTGAAGCCTCAAAACCGTCAGCGCTTTCAATACGGTTTTCAATTCTTGGTATTCAAATTGTTCATCAGAGTTTTGATTTGGAAGAAATCTATTTTCTACTGCATTCCTCGATCGTTAATTGAATCTTTGATTTGAGAAAAATCTGTCACACAAAAATATTTTAAGTATTTTCACATTCTTCTTTCTTGGTCATAAGTATTTGTGTATTTTCTTTTAATTTTTTATTTTTCAGCTAAACACAACATAATGTATTTGTTCTATCGACTTTGTCAAAATTCATGGATAAATTGTTTTCTTATTTATTTATTTATTTTATTCTTGCCACCGCCAGCAGCCCTTGTTTTCCGGGAATGCAGTCAATTTTTTTTGTGTTATTATTTTTTTTGATAATGTGAAAATCCGCAGCGCTATCCTTAGTGCGTTCGCCGAACCTAATAGCTGCAAACTAGGCCCGATAAGGCAAGTCACATTAGTGAACCACGTGTGGCAGACAAGACCTGGAGGCGTCGGAGTTTGAACCATTGACCTCACGGTCACAAGTCCCCATGCTAGCTGCCAAATTGGACTAGTTAGTCGTTGATGTTGTATTTTGTAAAAAACTTTTAGAATTATTCTATTTTTTAATTTAACATACGATACGTACAACTTTCCATAAGTATGAATTTTGGTATTAGAGGTACGTACTCACAGAATTAAAAAATACAATTCAGTTCGCAAAATTTCATAATTGGGTATTGAGAAACCCCTAAGTTTGAGCAATATACCCCTAATGGAGACAAATGTTACTTCATTTAACTAACTTATATACTTCTGACATAAACGCATGTACTCCTATTGACGAATAGGTTTTATAAGTAACTAAATATATACTCGACATGTAATGAAAAAATGTGTACTCACAACTATCGTTCTGAAAGCACTGATGGACATATTTTATGTACACCTCAATAAAAATAAAAATAAAATTTTTTTTATAGTGTGAGTAGTCTTAATATGTCTCATGTGTAATATTTACTCCATACCTTCTAACACATTTGTTCATTGAAAATATTCTTTTTAGTCTACAAAATGCTGATATAAACAAAAAGACAATAAGAAGTGTGGGGACTAAGACATATCTCATTAGTTATCCACAATTCATCAATATTTCTTACAATGATCTACAATATCATATGATATGTCAAACTTATCTTATGTGACATTCTCATCCACCCTTAAATATATAAACAAATTATCTCATTGATCGTTTCAGTACTATTGGTTATAGATACCAATATTAAACGAAGTGATAACGATCTATTCAACTCAAAATCATCTAATTTAGCGAAAATCAATAAAACATTTTCAATAGATGTTTAAATACCCGTGTTGATCAAATTAATACCTACGTATGAACATAAATACTTGTAACAAAGCCTGTTTATTAGACAAGTACACCTTTGGCCATATTCAATATACCTCAGACACGTAAATATATATACTTAAAATAATTGTAAAAACTTCGTATAAAAGTTTAAATACTCATATGCAATTTATGTTAATGTTAATTCAGATAAATGAATGAAGTTTTTTATAGGTCGTGTAATACCAATACAACTATTTAGGAGCCACAAAGGATACCAAGCATTATCTACATTTTATAATCAAGTATCCATGTAAAATGAAATATAATCCTAATTATATTTCATATACCGACGATGAATTTTAATGTACTACAGTGGTTATTTTACATACCTTTTTTGTGATTTGAAATTTTAATTTTTGACTGCTAAATACCACGTAATGTATCAATATATCCACAATTTACCACAAATATATCTATGTAAAATAGTTGTATATACCTAGTAAAAATACAAGTAAGCAGGATGGTTCATACCAGAAGCAGAGTGAACAACGGCTCAGGATCCCTAATTAATAAAGGGCTCATATTTTAAATTATTATTTATTATTATTATTAAATTTTAAAATTAAAATAGATAGTCCATATTTTAAATTATTATATGTTATTATTATTAAAATTTAAAATTAAAATAGAGGGCTATTATTTTAAATTAGGCAAAATAGCAAAAAATCCCCTTTGATTTTACGAATTCGTTGAAAATCCCTCGTGGTTCTAAAATTACAAAATTTGACTGACCGACGTTAAATTTTTATCAAATTTGAAAGTTATATCCTTATTTATATATTTTTTAATTTGTTTTTCTTTTTCTCTTGTCTTCTTTCTTCTTCTTTTCTTCTTTTATTTTTTCTTCTCCCTAACTTTTTTTCCTATCTTTTTCTTTCCCCCAAATTCTTCGTACACGCAGCTATTTCTTTTATTCTTTTTCCTCATTTTCGTCTTTTTCTTCTCTAATTATTTTTCACGCCGTAGCAGTCCCGGTTATTTCTTTTCTTTTTTTTTTCCCAAATTTATTTTTTCCTTTTTCTTCATCTCCAATTCTTTTTTGAAGAATGAAGAATTAGAGAATAAGAAGAGAAAGAAGACGACGGACAAAAGCGGCTGGAGCAAGGAAGAAAAGAAAGAAAAAGAAAAAAGAGAAGGGGAAGAAGAAGAAGAGGCTAGACAACAGGTTTTTTTTTTTTTTTTTTTTTTTTTTTTTTTTTATATATCTTTCCCTTTTTTCCCCAATTTTCTTTCTTTCTTTATTGTTTCTCCCAAATTATTCTTTCTTCCCCAATTCTTCCTTACGCCGCTGCAACCAACAACACGAGGTTCTTTCTTTCTTCTTAGATTGATTTCTTAAATTTTTGGGTTTGGTAAAACAAAAGAAGAAATCGACAGTGAGTAATAACTTACGCATTCTCGTCTTCATCTCCATGTTCGGTTGATTAATTGTACTCCCTCTGTCCCATAACAAAGTATCCATTTTTGCATTTTAGTCCGTCTCATAACAAAGTATCCATTTCCTTTTCTAGTAATTGTACTATCTACCTAATATTATAAATACCCTTACAACTTATAATATATTACACAAATGTGATTACCTTTATATCACATATACTAATAAGGTTATTTTAGTCATTTCTATTTTATTCATACTATATCCCAATATAATACTAATATTTCTAAAACTACGTGCAAAAAACAAATTGATATTTACTTATGGGACCGAGGGAGTATTATAAATTTGGGATCAATTTCAAATTTGGTTGTATTTAACGGATTTACAATGAAAAAAAAAATTAAATTGAGATTAAATTCTAAAAGTATGCAGAAGAAGAATGAGGAAGAAGAAGCTATGGTATTTTAGTGATTCTACATAAAAATATATCAATTTATGGATAAAAAATCGCATTTCAGGCGCGTGATATACAATTGTCGTTAAATCCTAACGGAAGGGGGATTTTTTGCAACATTTTGGAAACCATGGAGTTTTAGAACCACGAGAAATTTTCAGCAAATTCGGAAAACCAGAGGGTTTTTTTTGCTATTTTGCCTTTAAATTATTATCTATTATTATTATTATTATTAAATTTTAAAATTAAATTTTAACTTTTAGTTCATATTTTTTTCTTCTTCATAATTATCCTATTTAATTTTAAAATTAAATTTAAAATTCTAATTATATATATCTTTTATTTATTTCTTCTTAACCATATCTCACTCTATCTTTCCAAATTTAATCGTCGTCTACACTTCTTTATCTCACACCCCACCAACTTAGACCAAACCTGCCTCACATTCTCTCGTATCTATTTCACCCTTCTTCAGTCAGTCTCGCTTATCGAAATTTTGGACAGCCCGTCTTTCCATCTTCTTTTTTCAAATTGACATTGTCAAGACGGTCACGTTCAACATCTTCTCCAATCGACGCCAATCAGTGATATTATTATGAAAATACATTTTAATCATATTTTATAAGGCCTATAATTTATTTTCGCCCCCAAAAAATCCGAGACGGCCCTACAAGTAAGTATTGTCTAATTTCAAAATCATTAAATAATAAATTCATACGGAGATTTAGATTTAAGTATATAATCTATCAAAACTAAAATGAATCTGCAATCACCAAAAATACACTCACAAAAATCTATGATAGAGTTTCATTACATCATCGTTGGTTGTGTCTGTATGACCATATTTTCTGACATATAGTATGAAAGGAATTATCTCTGCCTACATATTGTGATATCAATCACCTCGAATGTTGATCTCCATAATTGGTTACACTATTGTCTTCTCGAGGCCATATACGTTAATGCCAATTCACTTTTGTATTTCGGGAATAATTTTCCTTACATTTCAAGCAAAGTCATCCTCTATGTTCATCATTTTTTGCAGACGTTGGCAATAAGATTTGAACATTATCAAATATACAAAATCATAAAAAAAAAATAATAAAATTTGTTGATGATTGGTCATAGCATATCTCAACAATACCAAAGTATTTGCAACTAAAAAAATATATAATATCATATAACACAAGTATAGGATTAATATCATATCAAACTAATATTGAATCAATTCAAAATTGAAATTACTCAAAAAAATATATATCGCAACTGAAATGCTAAAATAGCATATACATATTCTGACAATCAATCAAGGTACCAACACAGCACAAAATTATATTGGAATTGAGAAATTGAATCAACCAATTAATACCCAATTTAATTGAAAATAAAAGAATACTTCATGTTCATATTACATTTAGAAATTGCACAGTTTTTCTTACGTTTGGTTGGATATAGAAATCAACTAACAATTTCAGAAAGAACGGAGAACCGATAACATCTTCAGACGTCAATTGGCAAATGCGGCTTCAGACAACAAGATTGGACTTCTCCCTCGCCTTCGAACCAATCGACAAGATATTGGCAGTGCTCGTGGTTTTCCTCCAGGCATCGATTCTGACGGACAAACATCTGCAATAATTAAGTCATGAAACTTTCTAATAGATAAATGAAACAACAATTAAAGTTTATCTTGTTAAAAGTTTGTAATTGAATGTCTCGATTCAACACTTTGTATCACTGTCAAAGTTGGGCTCGAGATCAATAGTCGATTCACTGGGTTGGATCGCCAAAAATATGCCACCTGAAATGTGAATATTTATCTCTCGCGCGAAAATAAACTAACTCGATTGAAATCGTGTGGAAGAGATAAGAAATTACGATTGAGATAAAGATATAAATAGAAATTGATAAAAAATGGAGAGTTAATGTCAAATATTTTTATAAACTGAGGGATGCAGTGCTCTCCAATGATAGAAATGGACTGAATTCAAAATTAAAATATGAATGAAGTATTTATATTCAAGTGTCTATTATTAAAATAAAAATTAGAATTAGTTTAGATTAGATTAGTTTTTTTCTTTTCTATATATATAAACAACGAAAAAAACAAAAACACCCCAAACCATTGCCTTTCCTCTTACTTCCCAGTAGGTTCAAGCTCGATTTGGTCTGTAGCAACGTACGGAGAACACATCTATTATCAAATGGTATTGAGTTTGAAATTTCCATTGCTTTTGCAGCCCGCAAGCAAATTTGCAGCAGCAGGTGACGCCGACGCCCAGTTTGACTCACTCTTGCAAATTGCCGTCCACTAAGGGTGCGTTTGTTTGAAAGATTTTAGTGGATTTCCACTATTCATCCAATTTTTCCCCCCAAAAACATCAAATTAAACATCTATTTTTTATTTTTTATATTATACTAAAAATCAATTTTACATTCAAAACATCACATCAAACCCTATTTATATCACATCATACAACTATTCAAATTCAAAATTTTTACTGTTAAAATCCCAACTCAAAATCCAAACCCCCAAACAAACACACCCTAAGTTTAATAACCATTTCCCACTTCGACCTCCGCCTCCCTGCTGCTGTTGACCTGAAATCTGAAAATGGCCCCTACCTGTGCTCTCAATGGAGGCTGTCCAAGCGACTATGCTGCTCTCTCCATCGCTCTTCTCTCTATCATCCTGTAACTTTCTCATTTTCTTGATGCACGAAATCTAACTGTTAATACGAATTGCTAGGTGCTTCTAAATACGAAATACTTTTTCTGCTATAGGCTTGTTGCCAAGGCTGTTGCGCCCTATGTAATACATAAGATTCCTCGACCCAAAGGCAGTAGCTTTTGGCTCGTCGCTATACAAGTTTCCGCTAGCATAAACCTTTTATTGGCCATTGTGGTAATTTATACACTTATAGCTGCTCTTGGAATCAACTGCCATGATCACACTTATTCATATTGGATGTGCCTGATCAGATGGCTCTTGGATTTTTGAGGTTCAGGAGGAGGGATTGGTGGACTTCGTGCTATCTATGGGCTGGTAAACTGAGGAATTAATTACCTTAGGTCTTTTTTTTTTGTATGTATGTTTGTGATTTGGTGCCTCTTAGTACGTCATTACCTGATAACTAAAGATATGTTTCCCTCCTCTTAGTTTGGGTTGAAGGTCCGCTGGGATTTGGCTTGCTGTTGGGCTGTCGAATTGTACAGGCTTATCAACTCTACAACGTTTTTGTTAAGTAAGGCAAATCTTTCTGAATAATAGGAAATGATTCAATTTATAGTTCTTTATGGTAAGTTGTCGTTTTATTACCTGAAAATAGAAGTTGATAAGTGCTCATTCAGTGGGAAGGATGCTCGGAGCTGACAATTGTATGCTTAGGCATAACATTATTAATCGAAATAAAGTATCTGATTCATGCGATAGAAAATCATAATTTCAGATAACATGGTTGAGTTTTAACTTGTCCACCAATCTATACTTGTGGGAAGAAATGAAGAAAGGTCTCTTTGCTTTGTGTTCTGGTGGTTTGAGTTTTGAAGATTTAGAAGTTTGCATTTTTAGCCACTGTATACCTTTTTGCTGGTCTATTGTATGAACTTCCGATCTATGCCTATATTCTCCAACTATGATATTTTTTTTGTATACAACCTTGTTGATCCTATTCTCTTGTGACTTTTCAGGAGGCGTTTGCCACCCATTAGGTCCTTTGTATTCCTTCCATTGGTTCTCTTGCCTTGGATTGTGGGTGCCACAAGTAAGGACCTCAAGTAAAAGTGATTTTGTTGTTAGTTTCTTTTGGGTGTTCATAGTTTACTTTAGAGTTTTGTTTTGGGTAGTGTTACTTTTACTTATGTGTGAACAATGCATAACAAAATCGCTCATGTTCAGTTACCTAGCTTCTGCAAGTGCCTTTATACATGTCGGATGAGGCAATTTTGGATTTGAATCTACATGTCCACCAAATCTCTCACTTTAAGCACATTAAGGTTCACAGTATAGACCTCATGGGCTTATACTTATCATAAACTCGGAAACTCCAACAATTTACCAAAAGTTGCCTCTCTGTTAAAGTGGAGTCTGCATCGAGTGTCCTTTGGATTAGCCAATCACAGACTGAACAACAACCCTTAAGCAATTTGTCTTAAGACTGCCATTCTGCAATCTGGAGAGTTGTTTTATAAGAACATCAATTCATTAATATTGCCTTGAGTGTATATATATATATATATATATATATAATCTTACATAATTATCTACTCATTGATCTTAAGAAAATTGGTTATGCAGTAATTCACATGAAAAAGCCGCTAAACCGCCATTGCCACATGGGAACTCAGTGGATCATCCCAGTGATGTGCCTTCATGCTCTGTATGTTGCTGCTTTGGTTGTTTTCACCGGAGCAGTGAGACATGTAGATTTTAGATTTCATGAACTCAAGGTTCTCTGGCGTGGAATTCTGGTGTCTACTTGTTGCATAGGTAAATAGCATCTTTCATTTACTTCACAATTATAAGTTGCAAAAAACCCCAGGCAAATTTTCTAATGTATAAACTTACAGCAAGGTTAACTATCTGATTTCCATGTGCACTACGGTGAGCTACCTTAATGACTTATTATCTTGGAGAAAACAATAAATAAATGGAACAATAAAAAATCCTAAAATTGAAGCGTTTTATTTTATTTATTTATTTTTTCTTGATTCATAGCATTACAGAGGTTGAGTTCTTTGAGACACATCTGCCTATATTTCTCAAGTTCAATTCGTAGAGTTGATTTTACTAGTTTTTTGCTAATGTAAAACTGATAAACTATGTGTCATGGCATACCTTTGGAATGATAGCTCAAAGTTGCATCGTATATAGTGAAGTAACTTATCTCTATCAATGAGTTATTTCTGAATGAGCTTTTATATCTTAATCCACATTTCTTAACATCATGGCAAAATATTATGCACCTCAGTACCATATGTGAGTTCATTTTACTGTCCACTTATAAGGATTAAATAAATTTCTGCATGAAGCAACATCCCGACTAATCATCACTACATAACAGTGACAAAAACGTTAATGAATGGTTATGTGAACAGCGGCTGTATTGTTGGTTTTCCCATTTGTGTTGAATTTTTATCGGTGACCATTTGAGTTAAATGCTACCTCCCAGTGTCGATATCTATTTCATTATCTGGTATTAGTTTTTGTGCTGTATGTGCACCTGATTCAATTGTTCACTGATGACCTTGTATTATTTTCTTCAAAGTACTATGGTTGGCTGCGTACCTTTTGAATGACATTCACGAGGATAGGTCGTTGGTTCAAATCATTTCAAGATGTCTATTACTAGTTGTGGTATGCTTAACATCTGGCTCCATGAGAGATTCGATATTCGTTTCTCATTTGCACTTTCCACTTGAATCATTTCTCTCATTTGTTAATAATTGTTTTTCCAGACAAGTGTCCTTGTGCTGGCATTTTTCTCTGCATCACTGTCACAGCCTCTTGTCTCGCATTTGACTTTAAGGAAAAATAGCAGCCAGGAATGCAATTTGATGAGCCTGGCACTAGGTATACCTGGCAGTGGGCTCTTGACGCATGGGGATTCCTTTGAGTTAACCGATTATAATCAACCTTTGGATAAGCTTCTGTTGAACCGAACATTTCGTCAATCATTTATGGAATTTGCAGACAGGTTTCAAGTTGCTGTCCTTTATACTCTTTGTGTAGTGTGTGTGTATGTGTGCCTGCTTGGCTTAATGATTTTCTTTTCCCCTTGGGTGTTTGTGATAATAAAATGCATGTACTTTATGAAAATGCAGCTGTTTGGCCGGAGAGAGTGTCCATTTCTATGAGGAGGTGCTACAACTTGACAAAATTCCAATTAGTGACGATGTAAAAAGAATTTACATGGCACGGCATATAATTGACAAATATATCACTCCAGGTGCGATAACATTGAATTCATAGTTTGTAATTTGGATATACAATCAGCACAGCAGAAAATGGTTTATGTCTGCAATATCACTGCATACACGTTGTTTCTTTAAGTTTCCGGAAATTTTCTTAAACAGGTGCAACAATGGAAGTAAACATCTCTCATCATTGTCGACAAGAAATATTATCTACAGTTGATTTGGCACACCCCCACCTCTTCAGAAATGCACAAAATGAATTGGTGCACCTGATGAAAATGGTTAGTCTACATTGTCCCAACTTTTTCTCATTCGAAAGTTACGGTAGTTAATTCTCTACTTCTTACATGAGTTCTTCTTCTCTTCATGATGATCAAACTTATAATTTCCAAGAACCTGGTGAATGATTATTGGGGGTCCACTTTCTTCATGAAACTGAAAGAAGAGAGCATGATGAAAACAGTTGAGCATGAATTACAAGAACATGGAGGTTGGAATTTCCCGCAGCAGCGGCTGAGTTCAGTTCATTGTGCTGATGACCCCTTCCACCAAGACTGCCATAGTCCTCGAAAATCAGTTTGTAGCAGTCATGACTCATCATGATTCATGGATAGATACAGTAGCTAAGACTTCAGTCAGCCCTGGTTCTAAACAACATCAACAGCACAGGGCAGTGGCTTCTTGTTCTGGATGAGCACTGGCGGCGCAGCTCTCAATAAAAGGACGCGATCAGGGATCAATGCCAATGCCCAATCTTGAATTGGTGATTGAATATGGATCTGGAGGTTTAATTTCCACCATTTATATATATATTTTACCTTATATATGTATATATGCAAGGCTTTTTGGGTTTGAAGTTGTCAGGTTTGTGGATGCATGGGTAAGTGTAAATATGATATGTTTGTATAAAATAAAAATTCCCAGTGAAAAAGTTTATATGAATGGCGATGGGTTTGATGAGAGTAAATGGTCTATCTATCTCTAGCATCTACAAAATTGGGAAGTTATTGCTAATATAGCTAGTACTGGATGAGTGTCGAGTTTAGGTGGGCCATGAGTTTAGGTAGCTGTAGCTGTAGCTGTAGCTATAGCTATTTATTTATTATTTATTTATTTATTTCTTGATAGATGGATGCTATGGCTGCAGGCATGCTAATGAGATATGTACACATACATAAATTCATTTATGATAGTTGGGTTGTTCATCGTACATCTCGCCCAGGCCAGTTTGTCAACTGCACTGCAGCACCCTTGCTTTCACTAGGAATATGAAGAAAGCTAATAACTTGGAATAATGATAATAATAATAATAATAATTAAAATAAAGAAGAAGAAGAATATATACACGTGAGAATAGCATTGGCAGTTTTATTTGGCTACAGCTTGTCAGTCAGCATGTCCTCACTCTCTCTCTAGTCTGAGTCTCTAGCTACTTGCCCAGCTTGTGCACTGACGTGTTCCAATATCATAGGTAGTACTTTTTTAATTTTAATTTAAAATTATTTTTATTAAATTATAATTATTTTTATTAATATATTTTTTAATTACTCATTGATTATACTCCCTTTGTCTCAAAAATAAGTATCCATTTGTTTTTTGCACGTAATTTTTAAAATATTAGTATTATATTGGGATATATTAAGAATAAAGTAGAAATGATCAAAATAAAGTTATTAGTATGTATGATACAAAGGTAATGACATTTGTGTAATATATTATAAGTTACAAGGGTATTTGTAATGTTAAGTAGAAATGGATAGTTTGCTGTGGGACGGACTAAAATGGAAAAATGAATACTTTGTTATAGAACGGAGAGAGTACAATAATTAAAACTTGATGCCTAATATAAATGAGACAAATTAACTGAAATGGAGCAGAAGTAAGCTTCTCATCCGAACCCACGTGAGATGAGATGAGATGAGCTTCCCAATCTCAATACACGTGCATCTCATGACCTTGTTTCCTCCAAAATTATAGCACATCGAAATGAAAAATCTTTCTTAATTAATTGCGCTAACCAATAGGAACAATAAATTAAATAAACCTTTTTTGTTTTTTAATTTTTAAAAAAGAGAGTATTTTATTAGCAGTTGCCAGCCACCTAGCTAGCTGGTGATGCCTTTGAGTTGCATATAAACCAACACAGACACAGACACTTAGTTAATTAATTAATGAATCTCCCCAGCGTGATCTTCTTCCTCGGCTCAGCCTGTCTAGGCTTCCTTTACCTGTCCAAATGCGTTGCGAATGTCCTGATATGGACATGGACGATGTTTTTGAGGCCTGCCAAGGATCTGAGACGAGAGTACGGCTCCTGGGCAGTGATCACCGGCTGCACCGATGGCATCGGAAAAGCTCTTGCTTTCGAACTGGCATCCAAAGGCCTCAACCTGCTGCTTGTCGGCCGAAACCCATCCAAGCTACAACAGGTGTCCCACCAAATATTACTCCAACACAGCACCAAACAGCAGCAGCTTAGTGTAAAAACTGTTGTGATCGACTTGGGTAGGTGCAGCGGGGAGGAGATCCTGAGGAAGATGGAGGATGAGACAAGGGGTTTGGATGTAGGAATCTTGGTGAACAACGCAGGTATGTCTTATCCATACGCAAAGTATTTCCACGAGGTGGACGAGGAGGTGATGGAGGGCGTGGTGAGAGTGAACGTGGAAGCCCTAACCTGGCTCACAAAGGCACTCATCCCTCGCATGGTGGAAAAGAAGAAGGGAGCTGTTGTCAACATTGGATCTGCCTCAACAACCGCTGTTTCTTCCTTCCCTCTTTACACCCTTTACGCTGCTTCCAAAGGGTAATTAAACAAATTTAATTTAATTCAATTCAAGGCCTTCCATCTTTATCATCTTCTCTTTTCTTCAATTATATATATATATATATATATGTTAATTTCAGGTATGTGGGAATGCTGTCAAGATCCATTGGATTGGAATACAAGCAGTATGGAATAGATGTACAGTGCCAGGTAATTTAATTACATTATATATATACATATATATACAGTAGCACAAAACAAATTAGAGAAGCCTATGATATGAATGACTCTTCTAACATATATCATATGTAGGAGGAATAATTAATTAATGAATTAATATTGTGAACATGTATAAAATTCAGCTACAAGAGAGCACACAGTATTACCATAAACAACACACAGTATATTCTAATACAATACAAATACAGCACATGATATAGTTTACCACCACACATACACTACTTGATTTTACCGCATGACATACTCTCATACAGCACACACTATAATTATGAACTAACAGCACATACTTTTATTACAAACATTACAAAAAAAAAATAAAATATATTTATAACGGAATTCCGTCCCTAAAGTTCACGTAGCTAACGTAATTCCATTCCTATTTCCGTCTCTAATGTCATTAGTAACGGAAAAAATAAATTTAGAGACAAAAAAATTTTGTTACAAAAATTATTTTTTCTTGTAGTGAAACAATACATGTTGTATATAATAAAAGCCTGTGCTGTTTCTATATTTTACGTGTACTTATTTAGAGAATCAGAATGATGCTGATTTTTCAAATTTAGTATCCTAACCTTCCCCTGCCTACAGATTCCATTGTTGGTGGCAACTAAGATGTCAAGGATAAAGAAAGCTACGTTGTTCTGTCCGAGCGCAGAAACATACGGCAAAGCCAGCGTGAGGTGGATTGGGCACGCACACCCGGCGTGCATCCCCTATTGGCCTCACGCCTTGCAGGCCTTTTTCTTGTCTTTGCTGCCTGTGTCGTTGCTTGACTACTGTCTGTTTACATACTTCAATGAGATGCGGCATAGATGCCTCGCAAAGGATCGATGATTCTAACAAAATTCCACGCAAAATTGTCCTGATCAGTGATATAATCATCCGTGTGCTATTGGGTATGACTTGTTTTCTTACCAACATTTCAAACATATCTTCATACATTCTGTTGCTTCGGATAAGTAGTCAATAATTGAGAAATTCAAGTAAGTGCTGTATTTTGAAAATCAAAGAAAAGATGCAAAGGTTGTTCTTTTTTTCATATTAAATTGGTAAATGTCCATCCTTAATTGTGGGATATTTTTGCAATAATGATGGGTAGGTACCAATCAAACTCTAGTAATGGAATGAAAGTAGTGACATTAGAATTTGGCAGCTTTTTAATGTCACCAATCATATTCGATCATTATAGCCTATAGATAAAGATATTTTGAAAGGTCATTTCAATCATCAAATATCTCTTGTTTCATTCGACATATTCATTACCAAATAATTTTACTTTTCAGACAAAAAGATACTTTTCGTAACAGCTAAAAATCTTGTAATAAAGTCATTTTTAGTACAAAATATATATTTCTCGGGACTTTGTTATGTATTTTTTACCATAACATATACTTGCAATATTAAAAAAAGTTGTCACGGCATATTTCGTGATAAAAAAGTTGGATTAATGCAATATTTTTGGGCAAAACAGCAAAAAAAAACCTCTTGGTTTACCAAATCTGTTGAAAACCCTCCGTAGTTTCAAAATTCCAAAAAATCTACTTGTGGTTTGTAAAACGATGCAAAAAATCGCCCCTCAGTGATATATTTATGTATAAAATTACTAAAATACCCTTATTGACTATTTTTACAACAACTTTTTCTTCGTTCTTCTTCTTCCTCGTTCATTTTTTTTTTATTTTAAATCCGCTAAATACAACATAAATTTTACCAAATTTATCACAATTAATTGACCGGACATGGAGATGGAGATGAGAATGCGTAAGTTATTATTCACCGTCGATTTCTTTTTCTGTTTTTACCAAACCCAAAAAATCTAAAAATTTAATTTGACATCAAGATTTGAAATCAATCTAAGAAGAAAGAAATAAGGTGGTTGCAACGGTGTACGAAAGAATTACTGAGAGAAAATAAAGAAGAAAGAAAATTGGGAAAAAGAAGATAGAGAAAAAAAATAAAATTGGAGAAAAAAAAAAAGCTGATGTCCAGCCCCTTCTTTCTCGTCTTCTTTTTTCCCTTCTCTTCTTTATTCTCTTTCTTTTCTTCCTTTCTTCTTCCCTGCTCCAGCCGTTTCTGCCCGTCATCTTCTTTCAGTTTTTATTCTTTTGCAATTCTTCATTCTCCAAAGAACAATTGGAGATGAAGAAAAAAAAATTGGGGGAAAAAGAAGAAAAGAAAGAAACGGGTGGAACATGACCTGAAAAAAATTGGAGAAGAAGACAAAAATTGAGGAAAAAAAAAAGCGGGTGCTATGGCCTGAAAAAGAATTAGAGAAGAAGAAGAGAATAATTGAGAAAAAAAGATGTGTGAAGAAGAATTTGGAAAAGAAAAGAAGATGGAAGAAAGAAACTATGGAGAAGAGAAGAAGAAAGAACAAAAGAGAGAGAAACCACAGGGCAGGGGCATAACGGTCTGATAAAACTAAAATTTAACAGCGTCAGTGTGATTTAAAAGGGGGCGAATGTGCAACGTTTTACAAACCACGAGTAAGTATTTTGGAGTTTTAGGACTACGAGGGGTTTTCAACATATTTGGTAAACCACGAGAGGTTTTTTTGCTGTTTTGCTATATTTTTGCATGTAAAACATGTATTATATATATATACATAACACTTTTATACCATTTCTTGCGTATACCTTATTATTTAATATGGTAAAAAAAATAATTATTATACACTATGATCAACACATTAGTATAGTATTGTATACATGAATTTTCATCATATTGTTCAATAATGTAAATGATCATCTCACCTAAAAATTTAAATTTTTAAAAATACCGTATAATTTATTTATTTATTTATTTATCTACAAATGGAAGTCCACCAAAAATCATAAATCGTCCAACATCAGTTTTTACACTATCATATCAAACACATACAACCCAAATATAAAACAATGCAAAAAGTGACTACTACAATCATATGAGCAAGAAAGTTTCTATATTATCATATCAATTACATTTTGTCCAAATATAAAACAATGCAATAAATATCAACTATTACAATCACATGATCAAAAAAGTTTTTGCATTATCACATCAAATACATTTGACCCAAATATAAAACAATGCAAAAAAAAAAAAAAAAAATGTCTTTTACAATCACATGACCAAAATATCTGGTCCAACCATACAAGACAAATTCATGGAGATGACTCACTATGATATACCAAAAATATTGGATAAAACCTTGGCATGATAAAAAAAAACATAACTTTTGACATGGTATGAGTATATAAAAGTATTTTAAGAACAACACAGGTGCTAATATTTTTCAATTGCAATGTTAATAATTTAATATATTAGTTTGAATTGGTAATCAACACGATACGTCACCACTGTCCCATTCCACATTACTAATTTTTATACATCACATCTCAAAATTAATTAATTGGCCGGAAAAAAAAAAAAAAAAAAAAGTCTCCAAAACTCTGAAAATTCAACTTAAGTTTTTTTGAGAAGTCTGAACAAAACCTAAGCATGAATAAGAAAAATCAATTGTAATTTAAAATTAAATCAAGGGTAAAACTAGGAACAAATATTACTTGATACCGATAATCAACAAATATAAATGAATAAACAAAACACAATTATATTTAAAAGATAACACCAGAACCCTAATTCTCATTATCTTAAAATAATTTTGGCAAGATAAAATATAGTATCAAAAAATTATAAATATGAAAACTTTATGCCAATTCAATAGAAGAGTATATAATATGATAAAAACAGACATACTTCACCTAACATGCCATCATAGCCAACGGCTACAACTCTCATTACTTCCAACATGGTTCCAATTGATCCACCTATCAACAATTGAAATTTCCCACCATCAGACTAAACTTTTTGAAAAAAAGTTGAAAAAGTAAAATACTAATATGAGTTACTATAGTATCTCAATGAAAAATAAAAATAAAAATTGAGAAACCCATATTGTTGTATAGTCCATGTAATCCAAACAAGTAGATGATAGTTATATGTTGTATTAGACACCAAACACTGCAAATATAAAATATTTGACACACCATTAAGCCAAACACTGCAAATATTTTATTAAGCTTGTAGCAACAGATTTTATACATAAAAAATTACAAGACTTATAAGGTTACTAGAAGATGAATTTTTCTAGGGGGAATGAGATTTAGAAAATGATTTTGAATATTTTTTTTGCCTATAAAGAAGACATAGAATTTTATAATATATTGTACATAGGCATGAAGAAAAATACCAGATTTTCAATATACCACAATTATCATACCGAAAAATACCGAATATTTTGGTACGGTATCGGTATTTATTTTTTAAGTCATTGGTATATATTGCATATTGATAATATTTTTATTAAATAGTTTCATTATTAAAATAAATAATTAGAACCATATTTAATACTTTAAATAACTTATATTATACCAAATAAGTATTTTAGTCGTAACCGATTAAGGAAAGATTTAACAAAACCTTCTATAGCTCTTAAATAAAGGAGTTAATATTGATTGCATTTTGAAAAGGATATTCAAATATTAATTGATGAAAATAAACAATCAATTGGGACATGCAAATATTGTAAAGTTGAAACCCCTATTACTTATGAAAGTACAAGTGGATTAAAAATTATTTGGTGAAAAGGTGTAAGTTAAATCCTCTATAAGAAGATAATGAAAATAATGAAAAACAATGTATTTAAACGAATGAGTCCATGAAGATGGTGTAAAGAAATTCTTTAGTCTCATACTCTTTCAATCAAAAAATGTGCATTCAAAGTTTTTTTCTATTGCATGCAATATTATTTATTTTATAATTGCAAATAATAACATCTCTTTTATTATTGTAATTTTTTAGTGCAAATAGTAAGATCTTTTTTATTATTTCAAAAAATATATGCATTGAAGTTTGTGGAGTATATAATTATTGATGAAGTACCATTTCCAGTATTTGAAGATTATGTGTTTATAAATTTGGAAAATGAGTTACAATCAATATTCAAACTACATGGTCGATGAAAGATTGCATGCATGATTTATTCGTATAGAAGAAGACTAAAATAAAATTTGCAACCAATAGTTAAACACTAAGTATCACAACTGATACTTAGACATCCATTCAAAATATAAACTATATGGTAATTATAGCTCACTTTATAAATAGTGAATGAAAATTGTATAAAAGAATCATTAACTTCACAAAAATTACTTATCGGGAAGAAATTGACAAAATAGTTGAAGTCTGTTTGAGAGACTGACCTGTCGCGCGGTCAATCAAATATTTCACCTACTCCGTGATCACAATTTAATGTAATATAGGGGAAGGGATCGTCTCCACAGGGATTGTGTGATTCACTCTTTCGTGTTCTAATGCAGTAAATAAAGGGGGAATTTTCTTTTATTATCTAATTAAAATAAAATAACAAAGCAATTAAATTAAAGGGCAACTGACTATCAAGGGGATGTCTGGCTCAAGGGATGATGCAGTTATGGCACTTGTGTTCTATCATTAATTCAATTAAATTAATTCTTATTAAAGTATCAATAAATTGGTTATAGTTATCAACAAGCTCTGACAACCAATTTTTCCTTACGGTGTAGGTAATTAAGGTACGACCGTTAACTACCCCTAATTAAACAAATAAACCTAGGTGTGCCCATAAGAATATTGCCTAACCGCATTCCAATCTAGAAAAACCCAATTCAAAACAATTACTATCTAAGAGAAGCAATTAGATTTGATTGTCTAACCCCCGGGAAGGAACTATTCAACTCGGTTGTCACCTATTCAAGTGTGAATACAATTACGGATATCCTACTTGAATTGACTTTAGATTATCAGACTAATTTAAATATCGGTACCAAAATATTCAATCAATCTAACAATCACAAACGCTATTCTCAGAATTAGACGAATATTGATAATAAAAAAGAACTTTTATAAAGAAAATCAAGAATCTCCAAAACAAAAGAACCAAAACATTATCACCCCTCAAATCAGAAAAGTATCTACTCCATAATTAAATAACAAAGAACAAAAGAGAAAGATGAAGTCATAGTGGGAAGGGGAAATCTTCTATGTCGATTTGCTCCTGCGCGATCTATAAATCTGTCAGTCTCCTGCTCCTGTGCGTTTCTGCCCTAGCCGTCCTCCCCGAAACGTGTG